AGTATCTCCGCCCCTGCGTAATGTCACATAATGTCAAGAAAAATTTCAATTACGAGAAAAGTCGTTCACATTATGTGAGTCTTGGCACATGACTCACAAAAAAACCCTCATTACATTTCAACTTTCAACAGTTTTTTCAACAAGAATTTGAAATCTACTAAATAGCGGCGTCACATTACGAAACAAAAATTGGCATTAAAAAAATTAAAACCATATAAGTCATAAACTAAAACAAATGAAAAATGAATTTTCCGTCTAGCTGGCGATAATGGGATTCTGGTTTATGTATCGACTGACCGGTGGAAACTTTTGTTAGCTGAAAGTTGAAATTCTGGTGAAATGTCTTGTACATGGATACATAAAAAGTGAGATTTTGTCTGTGTTAATGAGTTCCTAAAGGATGTCTGCTTACTGTCTTTTATTTGCAAATATAGAGTCACATGCAGTTTATTAGTAACTTGTTAAGTCTCTGACTCCAGTACTTAAGATTTTAAATGCCTAAACCCAAGCCCATTTTACAATGTAGTTGTAAATTTCAAATTTCAAAACTATAGCCCATGTTAGTTGTTCATCTCAAATTTCAGTACTATAGTCCATTTTACAATGTAGTTATAAATCTCACATGTCAATACGGGGGGGGGGGGAGAGAGGGGGGCACTTGATATTTTCAGGGGGAGAAGGGGGGGGTGGGAGGGACACAGGTAAAAATATGTTTTCTATAGAAATTCCATTTCGTTCGGGGGGAGGGGGGGGGGGGGTTAGACGTGGAAGAAACTCAATACTACAGCCCATGTTACAATGTAGTTGTTAATATCAAATTTCAATACTACAGCCCATTTTACAATGTAGTTGTTAATATCAAAGTTCAATACTACAGCCCATTTTACAATGTAGTTGTTAATATCAAATTTCAATACTACAGCCCATGTTACAATGTAGTTGTTAATATCAAAGTTCAATACTACAGCCCATGTTACAATGTAGTTGTTAATATCAAATTTCAATACTACAGCCCATGTTACAATGTAGTTGTTAATATCAAAGTTCAATACTACAGCCCATTTTACAATGTAGTTGTTAATATCAAAGTTCAATACTACAGCCCATTTTACAATGTAGTTGTTAATATCAAAGTTCAATACTACAGCCCATTTTACAATGTAGTTGTTAATATCAAAGTTCAATACTACAGCCCATTTTACAATGTAGTTGTTAATATCAAAGTTCAATACTACAGCCCATTTTACAATGTAGTTGTTAATATCAAAGTTCAATACTACAGCCCATTTTACAATGTAGTTGTTAATATCAAAGTTCAATACTACAGCCCATTTTACAATGTAGTTGTTAATATCAAAGTTCAATACTACAGCCCATGTTACAATGTAGTTGTTAATATCAAAGTTCAATACTACAGCCCATGTTACAAATTACTTGTTTATCTCAGATACCAAGACCAAAATCCATGCAACAATGGCGTTTTTGAATATCAAATTCCAATGCAAAGTCCCATGTTGCAATGTCGTTGTTAATCTTATATTGTAACACTAACGCCATGTTGCAATGACGTTCTTATGACTCAGCTTCCTAAACCAAAGCCCATTTTACCATGTAGCTATTAATATCGAATTCTATCGCCAAAGCCCATGTTAAAAACAGATTTTAGAACTCAACTTCAAGTACTTAAGCCAGTATTACAATGTCGTTTTATATCTCTAATTATAATTAGTGAACCTATTTTTGAATATGATTATGTAGTATCAGTTACTAAAAATAACTTTTATGTTCCAATGCCCTAATAAGCCTACGATTTACATCTAAGACTTTCCCTGAGTAGATATATATGACATTTCTGTGTGTATTTTATCACACTTTTTTCTTAGTTTCTTTTTATGTATTTCCACATCCTGATTAAAACACCTTTAAAGTCCTTTTCAACTTGAAGACTACAAAGAACATATCTTTAACTTAAAATACGTCTTATAAAATGTTATTTTACTTTAACGACCTAAATACTCTATTAAAAAAAAACAAATAGCTTCAGTTATGTAATTTACAGCGTCAGTTTGCCTTGCCATGTTCGCTTTAGTATTACAGTTTTCATAATCGGCTTGTGAGGACTGATACAGATTTACAATAGTAATATTTCTTTCTGACATGTAATTTCATTCATTTAAGATGATTTACGTAAAATTATACACAAAAAACGTCTAACATGTATTTTATCTTTAAACAAGAAAATGCAAATGTGGAATTAAATGGTGATTTTTGGGGGAGAAGAAAAAAGCAAAAAAATAAAAATAAAAATAAAATAAGCAAAACGGTAATTTTCTTTTTATGTGCGGTGGGCTGATAACTAGAGCTGAAATAAATTTGGGATAAAAGAATAATAACATTATAAATATTATAAGCAGCACATGTGATATGTATAATAAAACGAGACACAAGAAATCATACATTCTTCCATTTCAAACAGCTATATCCACATTAGTCCTGCTATTTAAAAAAAAAAAAATTAAATTGAATATCTAAACATTAAAAATTAATTTATTTTGTTTTGTAGTTTCAAAAACATTATCACAAAGCATATGTATAATAATTAAATGAAGAAAATGAACTAGAATAAAAACTAGATTAAAATAATCATTAGGGGATGCAACTCTGTTACTTCCAATGGCTTAGTTCATGACTTTTTTTTTACGCTGAACCCATTTTCCTTTCGTTCTATATAAGGTTCTAGGATTCTAGACTAAATTAAAATGTATTAAAATGTTTCCCCGTCGGCTGTTCTAGAGACGTCATCTAAAATTTAGCTTCCACTCCAAATGTCCAATTTTTTTCGTTAAAAAAAAAGGAAATGGATTTTCCAGTTCGTAACTTTGCCAACAAAATGATTCAAACAATTACCGCATAGACTAGCAGATCAATTCCTTACAACAAACTGAATTGTCTGAAAATGGATTCTTTCCCCTGAATCTCGACAAGGTTTGAAAAAAATAGACTATTATCTCCCATATTTTGTTTGCCCGTAGTTGGTCCAAGGAAAGATAATCACGTGGCATTCTGAAATCAGATTTTTGTTTCTAGAAGATTGTGCTTGCTTGATGAAGGTGGAAGAAATAATACGTTGCCTTGTGCGTTTTGTGTTCGTTAAGTTCTTGAAATGGAAGATTAAATGTTTTTGGTACTTTCTTAAGAAGGGAAAATTCAGTTATAAATAAGATGGCGACCAAAATGTAATCTCCCTGCTGTTAGAAATTACATCACAAACATATAATATTTGTAATTGAATGTAGTCAATTTGCTTAAAAATGTTTCTTTTGAAAAGAAATGCCACCCCCCTCCCCCCAACCCCCCCTCCACCCCCCACCCCCCCCACCCCAAAAAAAAAAATAAAAAAAATAAAACAACCCATCATTTTATAATGTTGAACAATTCAGTTATTTCTCTATTTCGGCAAAGTCATATGTTTAACTTTGCGCAATCTGGGTTTTTATTTTATTGGTGTTTTAATCACGCGCTCCTCAGTAGCCTACCCTCTTCTCTGAGGGTCATCTCAGTTGAAATTGTCCGGCTGTTCCCTCGGGACAAGGTAAGGAACTAGTGGTTCCACTAGCACTCAAGTACTACCCTCACCCTCCCACCTTACTCCCACTCCCCTCCTCCCACCCACTCATTCCCTGAAAAAAAAAACAGGACCTGTCATTGACAAGAATGTTCGAGAAATCTTCCCGTTGTTGAGTATATCGATTTGTTAACGATTTGGTTATTTCTGTGAATTCCGTGCTTCACATATGTCAGAGTGTTACTGATCTTATTGTATATGTGAATTATGTGCTTCATATATGTCAGAGTGTTATTGATCTCATTGTGTCTGTGAATTATGTGCTTCACATATATCAGAGTGTTACTGATCTTATTGTGTCTGTAAATTATGTGACTGCATCTATCATTTTATTACTAACGAGCCGACCCGCTGCGTATCATACGCCGCTATTTAGTTGTTGTTTTTTTCTACTTTTCAGTAATTTATAATTTATGAATTCGACAGTACCAATGCTGCCATTGAAAATATTTGCTTAAAAACACTAACCCCCCCCCCCCCCCCCACGTGAAAGCAGCCTCCTCTTAGTTACCTCCTCTAAGTTTAAAATCGTTTCAAACTCAATTATCTGCCCCTAATAGCCGTCACCAAACCCGTCTCTATGATTGTAAAATGTAAACAGAGTGAACACCGCTCACCAGATCATGTGGGGGTGGGGTGGGGGTGGTAGTGATAGTGATAGAGAGGAAGAGAGGGGACTGCAAAGGCGCGCTTGCAGCTTTTTTTCTAACTGATCCCAGAAGAGAATTATATATATAGATTCTATGGCCTCGTATATCGTTGTGTTATTGACCTGATTGTTTCTGTGAATTATTTGGATTGTAGGCCTCGTATATTAACGTGTTATTGATTTGTTTTTTTTCTGTGAATTACGTGGTCTCGTATATCATTGTGTTATTGATATGATTGTGTCTTTGAATTCTGTGACCTCATATACCAATGAGTTAATGACCTGATTATGTCTGTCACCTCTATGGTTTATGATATCACCGTGTTTTTTATATGATTGTGTCTTTGAATTCTGTGACCTCATATATCTGATAATGTCTGCAAATCCCATAGTTTATGATATCATCGTGCTATTAATGTGTGTGTTTCTCTGATTCTCCCACAGGGCGTGGCGTTCCTCTCCTTCTCCTGGGCCTTTGGCTACTACCTGTGCAAGTCTGTCCACTACTTCCAGATTGTGGCCATGGTCTGCTCGGTCATGACCTTGACCGTCATGAGCATTGAGAGGTAGGTTCCAGTAATGTTTGTGTCTTCACAATGAAAGGTAGGTTCTAGCAATGTCGGTATTTACTTTCGCTTTGGTAAATACTTTTTAAAACTTTTTAATGTATTTGGTAGAGTATTTTAATGTTGTGTTTGAGTAAAGCTCTTCATCGATTACAAGTACAGAGATATTTTTTTGCATATATTTATAAGTATTGGAACAACCGCTTTCATGGACAGTAAATACTATTCACCTGTTGGTTCTATGAATGGTGTTATCAAATAGTCTATAGTAGATTTTTTTGTTGTTCCCCAGGAACATCGCCATCTTGTCCCCCCTCCTCTAACCTTTAGTTCTCTGTTTCCCCAGGAATATCGCCATCTTGTCCCCCCTCCGCTCCAAACGTATCTGCACCAGACGAAGGGCCCGTGTGGCTGTGGTGTTCTTGTGGCTGGGCTCCCTCATCCTGGCCCTCCCCATCCTCTTTGCTCAGGTGAGTAGTGGTATCCGACCTTGGTGGTGTGCTCATAACATCACACGTGACATTGGGCACATGAAAACCCGACACTCGTGGTGTGCTAATCACATCACTCGATGGGATACGTGACACGTGACATGGGGCACATGACCCACGTGACATGGGGCACATGACCCACATGACATGAGACACATGACAACACGACCTTGGTGGTGTGCTCATCTCATAACACGTGACATGGGGCACATGACAATAACATTCTTTAATCATCCCAGTTAAAACAAAAGTTACAATCAATATCACTTTGATGCAGCATATATATCAGTAATAAACTAAACCACTCCCTAAATGCTTCATTAATTAATGTAACAATGCGACCAACTTCCTAAAGGAATGTTGTCTAAGTTATAGTTAATGTTTTTTTTTTTAAATTTCAAAATAAACGACACACACACTCACTCAGACACACACGCACGCGAACACACAAAAGCACGCACACACACATACATATTCTCTATCGTACACACACACACATACACACACATATATATATATATATATATATATATATATATATATATATATATATATATATATATATATATATATATATATGTACAATATATCTTTAATTTAATATCGGTACGATGTTTTTTTAAATCTCACCGAACACCACACGAAACATTATTGCGAGCACCCAACATGAAATCCAACAGTACACGCAAAAGTTACAAAACAAAAACCATTTTCTCGGTAAAGTGCACGGATTTGTCAGCCATTACCGCTTAGAGATGGGAAAACACGTAGACCTTGGAATGAAGGGGTTAATCTTTAAGTGAGAGGAAAATCGCGCCCATCCGTACTAGTTGAGACGGTAAAGTTTCAAGTTAACTGGGGTTGACAGCAGATCTAGCTCTAAGTTTCTGAACGTACTCTGCTGTAGAATAATGGATTTTGTGTGTTTTATAACATGAAAAAAAAAGCAAAACAAATAAACTTTAAAAAAAATGCTTAAAAAATAGCTCGCATATACTTTAGGGGTTTATCTTTCTTAGCATGCTGTTATTGTACAATTTTTACCCTTACGAGAATCTTTTCTTTGTTTAGATATGTTGGCCCTGACACGAATATTATAATGATTTCGCCTTTTTAAAATGTTATGCGGCATGAAACTAGCGATAAAAAACAGATGTTGTGAAATATTTTTTAACATAAAAAGCTGAGATAATTTTTTTTGTTTCGAACATCTTGTTATCCATTAAAACTTAGAGAAAAGAGGTGGATAAAGTGCATAGAAGTCAGCGTTTGTGTGAGAAACTAGATGGATAAAGTGCATAGAAGTCAGCGTTTGTGTGAGAAACTATATGGATAAAGTGCATAGAAGTCGGCGTTTGTGTGAGAAACTATATGGATAAAGTGCATAGAAGTCAGCGTTTGTGTGAGAAACTATATGGATAAAGTGCATAGAAGTCGGCGTTTGTGTGAGAAACGAGATGGATAAAGTACATAGAAGTCAGCGTTTGTGTGAGAAACGGGATGGATAAAGTACATAGAAGTCAGCGTTTGTGAGAGAAAAGAGATGGATAAAGTACATAGAAGTCAGCGTTTGTGTGAGAAAAGAGATGGATAAAGTACATAGAAGTCAGCGTTTGTGTGAGAAACTAGATGGATAAAGTGCATAGAAGTCATTGTTTGTGTGAGAAAAGATATGGATAAAGTGCATAGAAGTCAGCGTTTGTGTGAGAAAAGATATGGATAAAGTGCACAGAAGTCAGCGTTTGTGTGAGAAACGAGATGGATAAAGTGCATAGAAGTCAACGTTTGTGTGAGAAACTAGATGGATAAAGTGCATAGAAGTCAGCGTTTGTGTGAGAAACTAGATGGATAAAGTGCATAGAAGTCAGCGTTTGTGTGGGAAACGAGATGGATAAAGTCCATAGAAGTCAGCGTTTGTGTGGGAAACGAGATGGATAAAGTCCATAGAAGTCAGCGTTTGTGTGGAAAACGAGATGGATAAAGTCCATAGAAGTCAGCGTTTGTGTGGGAAACGAGATGGATAAAGTCCATAGAAGTCAGAGTTTGTGTGAGAAAAGAGATGGATAAAGTACATAGAAGTTAGCGTTTGTGTGGGAAACGAGATGGATAAAGTCCATAGAAGTCAGCGTTTGTGTGGGAAACTAGATGGATAAAGTACATAGAAGTCAGCGTTTGTGTGGGAAACGAGATGGATAAAGTCCATTTAAGTCAGCGTTTGTGTGAGAAACTAGATAGATAAAGTACATAGAAGTCAGCGTTTGTGTGAGAAACGAAATAGTTATTATTGAGGTTTACTACAAAAGGGAACGGCGTGGTTGCATTGGTAGAGCACACGACTGCTTACACGAAAGTCTCGAGTTCGCATACCAGGGTATTGTCAGTAGACCCCCCCCCTCCAATACTCCTCCTAGCTGTTATTAACTACCTGACTCACGTTAGGGAAATGAAAGAGATAGTGCTGACTACATTAACCCTTCATATGCCGAGACTCGGGATTACAGAAACAGGTGAACTCTACTTCACCTGGTTCGGAAGGTCCTTTACTATTTAATGTAACAGAATAAATGCAGTTTTGTCAAATTTTAGAAAATATATAAAAAAAAATAAAAACTCCAAATTAACATTGTTTATTCTTTTGTTAAGATATAGCTTCTACGTTTAGTATCCATTTTATTTTTAACAAAACACGCCAGTATCGAACAACAAAGTACACACGCTTTTAAAAAAGTCATAATTAAAATGTGTACGTAACTTGAACCTCTGTCGCAATATAATCTTTTAAACAGTGCAATCTTTCTATTATTTTATTAAGCGCATTCTTCCCTAGCACTAGCCAGGTGGTAATAAACGTGTCTTTGGCGTGTCATGCCATCGATTGCTTAGCAACCAGTTTCCACCGAGTCTATGTACATGCTATGTTATCTTTTCTCTCATTACTCAAGTACGTATTACATTTTTTTCTTCTCACAAAGGCAACCGGCCAGTATAATGTCTATTGTCTTATGATATACATCAAGAGGTTGCTGGTATTTCTATACTAGTAAAATATATTTTCATAGCAAGTAGTCTTTTGTTAAAATCTTTTCTCTCTCCAAGGCAACCGGGCAGTATAATGTCTATTGTCTTATATACATCAATAGACCGCTGGTATTGTTTAATACTAGTAAATATATTTTCAAAGCAAGAAGCTTTTTTGTTAAAATTGTTTTCTCTCTCCAAGGCAACCGGCTAGTATAATGTCTGCTGTGAAAAAATATATAGAGAGAGGTCGCTATTTTTTCCTCACTACTTGTAAAGAATCGTTAAGAAGATGGTCCTTTTGGTAGTTGTCGTAGAGATTGCCTTTTTAAGTGCTTGATGTGGAGTGATATAGTTTTATGACTTTGACGTTGGCAAATCTATGAGCCTACAGGGGTCAGCAATAGGTCTAGTGTGTATATTTTCCCCAACTCAAGCCAGGTTTTTATTAGAGCTGAGTTGACTCTGCATCGAGTACTTAAACTTAGGAATCGTGAGCTCTTCTTTTCGAGAACGACAACTAATCTACCCCAAATGATGTTTGGTATTGATTAGCGCTGAGTTGACTCAAAGGCTTCCCGGAGCTTAAAATAAATTTAAAAAAAAACATGCCAGTAGGATTATCATTAAAGCGCTTATGACTATAAGACTTTTTCAACGGAGTAAGGTTTCCTATTACTATCATCTGTGTTCATGATTCCGTAATTTGTAAAAATTGAACAAAATTGAACTTTATAAAAAAAAAAATTCATCTATACAAGCAGGTAAAAACGTTCAACAATAATTGAACCGTATAAAGGGGAGAAAAAAACATTTCCCCTCAAACAAACAGAATACAAACAAACAAAAAACTTCTATTATTGCATAGAATCAAACATAATCCATGCAGGTTTTCCCGCACTCGTAGATGCAAGCCTCTGACGTTACTTCCTGGTGTCAGTTTGCCGTGTGTTTAAAAATATTTTAAATAATTTAAATTTACATTTTTTAATGTGGTTAGAAAAATGTATCTAATGATGGTCTGTTTGCCGTTTTGTTTAAAAATCTTCTGAATCTACTTGGTTCTTTTATTGTAAATATGTTAATATAATTGAATGTTAGTTCTTTTTTTATAAATATCATTTTACAAGTGTACATGTATATAGACATAATTATATTTATACATATACACATACATATATATATATATATATATATATATATATATATATATATATATATATATATATATATATATATATATATATATATATATATATATGTGTGTGTGTGTGTGTGTGTGTGTGTGTACATTTATGTGTGTTTGAGTAATTATGAAAGTACGTGTTTGCGTTCTTGTGTATGTATGTATTTATGTGTTATGACTGGGAGAGGCAGTCGCTCTTGAAATACAGTTCGAAATGTTCCGCCATATTCAACCAGAATCCGGACATGTACTGCTGTGGTCGCATCCATAATTATACCAACCACATATTGGACATTTTCGGCTATACAAGCATTAGTTACACCAATCAGAATTTCTCCGTGCACATAAAGGTCTGTATATGTAAAGCTCGTGCCAATAATCTCCTTTTGTTTGCACTATTTACTAATAGCTTAACCCAGTTCCATGGTTCGAATCCTACTCCGACGTTAACCATCGCACGAACCAAATGTCGAGAAAAGGTCAGCAGGTCAATAAACGGACATAAGAACATTTTTGTGTAGAACATTCTGGAAGCGTTGTCTCGACCTGCTAATGGGTGTGAGGCTACAAAACCTCATCATCCCCCCCCCCCCCATTCGGTTATTGACACCAATAAGAACTTTTTAAAAAGTAATTAACTACGACGTATTTAAAGAAATATTTTTGTTAAAATTCTGGGCTAATGGAGTGTCATCGATTGATGTTAGATGCAATTATTTTTCAATCAATCAATTCGATCTTTCTAAAATAATACTTAATATGAGCAGTTTTGATTTTTCCCCCTACTTTTCAAATTCACAACTTATTATACAGGATTAATACATTATCATGCATATTGTAACCTGCATGTTAAAAGTAATTACTGTAATTACTGCTTTTTGGATATAATTTATTCCATATTGTTATGACTTGATATAAACAATAACTGGATATAAACAATAACTTGATATAAACAATAACTGGATATAAACAAAACTTGATATCAACAAAATACGAATATAAAAAATAACTTGATATAAACAATAACTAGATATAAACAATAGCTGGATATAAACAATGACTGGATATAAGCAATAACGAAATATAAAAAGTTGTACGAGTTAGAACCAAACCGCTATTCTCTCTTTATACAATCAAACCCACCAGCACTAGTTTACCTCAACAAATCTTGTATGTAACGCCATAGGTCCTCTGTGATCAAGATCAGGCCAGTAACGCGAGGAAATACGGTAATTTTTTTACTTAACTCGGGCCATCCTTAAACCAAATACCACCCTACCTTTTCAATTTAACACTACAATGTAGACATTTATTCCTGACTCGATGACCAAACGTGGTGGCTTTGTTTTAATGACCATCGTCTGCACCTTCTATGGTTTCTTTGTTAAGTAAATGCAGGATGTCCATAAAAGACGTTTCTGGACCCGTGAACGGGATTAATTAAAACTTCATTACGAGACGGTAATTACATTAACCGTGTTTAATAAAAGGTCGGTCCCTCAATGAAAGGGCGTGCCACATTGTTCTAAGAGATCCCATTCAGTGGCAGGCATTTGCGGTGCTTCAAACAGAAAAACTTTAACTGCATGCAGTGAAGTTACGGCAAAAAATGTGAATAAAACAACGAAATGTTTAAAAAGTTTAATTACTTTTCCAGACACAGTTCAGTGGCGTAGCTAGTATTTTTGGGCCCCTATGCAAAAAGTGTTAGTGGGCCCCTCAGAGGCGTAGCGACCCTTCCCGGCGACCGGGGACAAACTTTCGATTTGCCCCCCCCCCTCAAACTTTCGAAAAAGAGCCCCTATTTGCCTTGGGCCCCTATGCCTTCCTTACGCTAGCTTTACGGTAGCTACGCCACTGACACAATTTAATCCAATATTTCGTCAAAGTTTCAAAGTTTACGTTTAGTAAATTTAAGGTACAAGTCCACGTAAGATGCATTCGTCAAAATGGAGAGCTGCGAACAATCTTAGGTTACACGACTTACCTGAGACGAAATGGAGTTAAATTAAAATGAATAGAAATGTAATAACTACGTGTACCTGATGGGACGACGTGGCCTAAGTCTCGAGTTCGAATCCAGGTCCAAGTTAATAGAAAGTCCCTGAGTCCAGTTAGCTCTGATGGGTATCTAACTCACGTTAGGGAAAGTAAAGGCTGCTGGACATAGTACTGACCACACCTTCCCTTCAAATGTCGAGAGCTAGAAACATATAAACTCTACTTCATCGCTTGTTCAAAAGAGAATTCTTTGCATTACTTGTAGCTGGCTTAGAACTAGAATATTTTAAGACCATTTTCGTTTGCTTTCTTTTTTTGGAAAATGTTTTACATAATTTTGTTCTAAGTCAACGAGACAACGAAATCTTCGTGGCAATAAGTCTCACTATTTTCACGCAACATTTCCATTTCTTGAACCGCTTTCTATCAAAATGTAGGATCGTTTATTCATACATGTACAAATATACATACATCATTCATATGTAAAAACATTAAATACATTAAATTGCGTCAACGTATTTTTCTTAGCTATGATTTAATTTACACTGCAACAACCCTTGTAAATGTTCATTACAACCTTTCATCAGTAAATGGCGAGGATTTCTGATTGCCCTTAAACTTTCTGAACTCGAACACATCAAAGTGGGTCACCGTTAACTCATTCAGCGTTACATCGTGTTTGTTCGGACTAGGTCGATCGGTTCTGATCATAACGAGGCTCTCTGGTTTCTTTCATGATCAGTCTACTTGCTCTTAATTAATGACAGGATGCACGCTTTCATTAAATTAAAGGGGAGATTACATGGTTTCATCTGCAGCATACTTTCGTGACTCTTTTTTATTATACCCTTTGTATTTTAAAACACGAAATTTATTCGAAAACTTACTATACCGCTTGGCCTAGATTTAGAGCGCTAGACTGCTAACCCGAAAGTCTCAAGTCATTAGAACGTCCCTGAGTTCACCCCGTTCTAATGGGTATGTAAATTACATTAGTGAAATTAAAGGCGGCTGGGTATAACGTTAATCACACTATCCCTTCAAATGCCGATGTCACAGAAACAGGTGAACGCTACTTCACTTGCCCCATGGACTCTCAGGTTCCAAATCGTAACTTTATTTTTACTGTATCTATCACTTTTGTTTCGGTTAATATTTGCAGCTCTTCTATTAACTGATTCACACAAAAACACAACTCTGACGTTATATTTTCTGATTACATATCAGCGTAACTTAAGTTGCCCCCCCCCCGACCACCCTACACACACACTACACACACTTAAGATTTTGATATCTTTTGTGAATGACTGTGTAAGATTTTGATATCTTTTGTAAATTACTGCGTAAGATTTTGATATCTTTGGTGAATGACTGTGTGATTTTTCAAGAAGTTTTTTTTTTCCATAATCTATTTTCCACACAGAGTTATTTAAAAAAAAAACCCTTAGAAATAAATGGAAATTATACATGTTTAGTCCTGTATTCTTCTAAAATTTTCAGATAATCAAGCGAAATTAAAGACGAGTGATTGTAAAAATTGAGTTTTGTTTCATCTTTATTTGTTTATTTTTTGTTTTATTTTTCCTAGCAAGGAGGTTGGTACTTAAATACGAGTGATTATGAAGATGTACTTTTGTCTGATTTAAGTTGTTTTGTTTTTGCATCCCCTATCAACACACGCGGGTTGGTAATTAAAGACAAGTGATTGTAAAAATGTACTTTTGTCACAATTAGTTTTGGTTGTTTTGTTTTTGTTTTCCCTAGCAACACAAGGGGGGTTGTTATTCAAAGACGAGTGATTATGAAACTGTACTTTTGTTTCTATTTTAGTTTTGCTTTGTATTTATAGCCACACAAGGAGGTTGAAACTTAAAGACAAGGGATTATGACATTTTTTTTTCTCGCTTTTTAGTTGTTTTGTTTTTGCATCCCCTAGCAACACAAGGAGGTTGAAACTTAAAGACAAATGATTATGAAAATATACTTCTGTTTCATTTAGTTATTTTGTTTTTGCATCCCCTAGCAACACAAGGAGGTGGGGAACCTCTACAAAGCCTTCTGGTGCAAGAAAGAATGGGACAAACCCATCCACGGCATCCTCTTCGAATCCTACATGCTGGTGCTTCTTTTTATGGTGCCTGTCTGCGTCATGGTCGTATCGTACACCACCATCTGTCTGGAACTGGCCAAAGGGTCCAAGTTCTGGCGCCAGACCACCGCTGACCAGTGAGTATTGTTATGCAAATATCCACGCGGGGTTGATTAGCATGATGGCCGGGTACGCCCGCCTCTTCACGACGTAGGGCCACTGAGTAATGAAGGCTAAATTACCCTTTTTACGTTGATCATTAACCTAGGGATAAAAACGGTGATAATATTTTTCACAGTATTTTGAAAAAAAAAACAACAAAAAACACGTCTTTGAACTTTTAAGACTATACGAATAATGACGCGTAATGAAAACTAAAAAAAAAAAAATTCTTACATTCTAATGTTTGTGTAATGATTTTTAAAGGTTTCTTGTCTGTTTTTTAAAATAAATTTTTTAAAAAGTATAGCATTAAAGAGCTCATTTTTATACTAATCTATCTATTTAGCATAAATGATAGTTTTTATAGAACACAACAAAAGAGTTTGATGTCAAATGATTGAACAGATTTGAGGAAATTATTGCTAATTTATAAAGTTTAGAAGAACTTTTGGAAGAGAGTGGTTCTAAATTTGTGTGTGTTTTGAAATATTTTTCATACTTATATATTCGAGTTAAGATCTATATGCGTTGACGTAATGTTGAAATATGTAAATTTAATTTTGACATTAACCTGTTGATGTATAATTTATGTAATGTAGAACTAATGTTGAAGTTATGTTTATGATAAGCTGATCTAATGTTGATCTAATTTTGATCTAAAGTTGATCTAATCGTGAACTAATGTTGATCTAATGTTGCTGATGACGTTATGTTGATGATAAGCTGATCTAATAGTATCAGGATGTTGATCTAAAATTGAGCAAAAGTTGATCTTATGTTTATCTAATGTTGATCTAATCCTAATCTAATGTTGATCTAAGGGTGATCTAATGTTGATCTATTGTTGATGTAATGTTGATGTAATGTTAATGTAATGTTGATGTAATGTTGATGTAATGTTGATGTAATGTTGATGTAATGTTGATGTAATGTTGATGTAATGTTGATGTAATGTTGATGTAATTTTGATGTCATGCTGATGTACTGTTGATGTAATGTTGATGTAATATTGATGTAGTGTTGATCTAATGACGATGTAATCTTGATGTACTATGCTGTGCCCCACAGGTCCAGGTCCCTGTGTGTGAACCACACCAACCACAGCAACCACAGCAACCACACCTACAGCGCCAGCCTCACACAGACCAACGCCTGTGTGGACAACAGAATGCTCAACAGACACAAGGAGAGGATGGACAAGGAGAAGATGAAGGTGGGTGTCACGCTGGTGTCACGCTAGCGTCACGTCACGGCGTGTGTGCGAGGTCACACTAGCGTCACGTTCACGTCACGGTCAGAGAAGATTATTTGTGTAGGGAGGGGCGTGGTGGTGTCACTTCACGGTCGTAATAGTGTGTTTGTTATGGGGCGGGAGGGTGGGGCCAAGGTAGTGTCACGTCAGTGTGTTGAGTGTCACGATGGAGTCACGTCACGGTCAGTGTGTGGTGTCACGATGGAGTCACGTCGTCTCACAGATGTAGGGTGTCACGGTTGCGTCACGTGACATTTACAGATGTGTGTGTGTGGGGGGGGGGATCACGTAGGAGTCACATCATCTCACTCCACAGAAGTGGGATGTCACGTAGCGTCACGTCACGGTCAGATAAGTGTGTGTGTGTGTGTCAGGGGGTGTTAGGATCACGTCACAGTTTTGTTACGTTATGTTAGAGAAGTTTGAGGGGTGGGGGAGGTGGCGACGTCTTATCGGAGTCAGAAAAGTGTGGAGTTTTACCAGGTTCGGAAAATTAGGAGGTGGGGGGAGTGGAGGTTGCTTAGAGTGACATTACGGTCTGAGTATTACATTGAAGTGACCTAATGGTTAGATAAGGTCAGAAGTGGGAGAGCTGTGTCACATTGACGTTATGTCATGGAAAGAAAGGTGGTTTTTACACAATTGACGCTCGAGAAAATTCAGTGGAGGGGGGGGGGGGGGTTCTTCTTCTTCTTTCTTAATTGTAATATTAGGATGGATTCCCTCCAACCAGATTAAGAATTACGTGTCAAGTTGTTAGGCCGTTGACTCTGATTTCAGCCAGCTTTTCTTTTAGGATTTCCTACCATAGCTTTTGTCCATCCAAGAATAACCTACAAGGCAGCAGTTGTTTGGTTTTGGAGTTTGCTCTCATAGGTTGGTAATGTCCCACAGCTGAGGAGAATGTATTTCACCAGTCTGTAATTGAGTTACCTCTGCTTAGAACTGTCACTCGCAACCGGGTATCCTATTGTAAAAACTTTCCAAGTGTGTGTGTGTGTGTGTGTGTTCGTGTAGAGGTGGGTCAGTAGTATTTACTTTCCACGACCCGCGATAGGTACACGTCGGATAGCTACAGACCTTTTGTCAATCAAGTGACTTCCGGGTCAGTTTTACCGTGTCAGTCTTAGTGCCGGGAGAGTAGAAGACATTCAACAATTTGACATCATGTATTTTTTTTTAAAACTGGACATATGTAAAAAAAATCTTTCCTGTACACATCATCCCCCCCCCCCCCCAATAAATGACTGGGTGACCTTTAGCAATCAGTTACTTCCCATATATTATTCTGAATTGTAAAAGGGGAAACAATTAAGATTCTAAACAAATTTGAGACTCTTTAAAAGGCAAAATAAAAGTACATAGCAGGAAATATCAGTTTTTGTCTCAAGTTTCTGTATCAATCAATTTAAAATATAATAGTAAGTAAAAATCTAACAAAATAATATTCTTGTTAGAAATAAAAATAAAATTACTGTTCAATTTTAAATGTTTCACCTTAATAATTTTAAAATATATTTATAATAAGAAAACATCAGCTTTTTACTGCTTCAATCAACACCACTTTCAAAAGAGCAAAGCTATTCTTTCCTGATTTGCTTATCTTATATTTGTGTTATACATTGTGCTGATGTCGAAACTGTCAAATTGTGAAGTAACAGGTGTCGCCTCTACCGTAGTTCATGTGTAATATTGGCTGATTAGCTGACTAATGTGTCCACCCAAGTTAGATTACAACTTGGATTACGTGAGTTAAAGATTCTATTGAGAAAAGGTCCGGGCATTCTTCCTCTGTTACACAGAAATTGATTGTAGAAGTTCCAGGCATGGTTTGAGCAATCTCTTTAGACAAAAAGTATTCTGCAAGACACATTTTTCCAACATGTTTAATGCACTTACAGGAGTATCAGATGCCTTAAATTTCGGCAGGGGTCACATCCAGGGGTACTGTCAATTTGCTTCCACGTCCTTATCTGAGGGGTTAAAAATAACAGCGACCGACCACGACCTAGGCATCGAATTCCTCCAGTGGCGTAGCCAGGAAATGGTCATGGGAGGGGTTCACACATTTTTCCATATGTATACAATCCTATATATATATATATATATATATATATATATATATATATATATGGGTCCATGGGAGGGGTTATAATCCCCCAAATCCCCCTTTGCCAACTCCACTGAATTCCTCATTGAAACTTCGTGAGGTTGAAGACCGAATCTCGGGTATAAAGAAAAATTCAAGTGCGACAATCTGAATGTTAGTAAGAGATAACAAACACCGCGTTACCAGTTACTCCCCTTACCCACCATTCTCCCACCGCAAAAGAACTCGGATGCGGGTTGATTAAAACCAGCAAGCGCACATTGCCAGGGTCCAGATGTAGGCCACGACTTTATGAAACAACTAACTATGGGCAAAGTGTTATAGAGCCCAATTTCCTCAGGTTATTTTCATTTCTTACCATTGGTTTCCCGATGTTAACTTTTCCTAACCTAAAGCTGGAGAGGAAAATACATTTAAAGTAAAAATAAAATAGTATCATAAGTAGGATTAAAAAGTAACATTGGTGTTACGTAAAATGAGCCATGTCAATTCAAACTTTCTTCCCTTTCAAACAGCTAGATTTTTATCCATAGAAGTCCTCCTACAAAACTGTTTTTCCCCTATAAAGTAAGTAATTTTATTTAGAATTAAAGTTGGCGGGATGGTAGGGTGGTAGAGTATCCAACTGCTAACCCGAAAACCTTGAGCTCGGATCCCTCATTCCACCTAGCTCTGATGGGTACCTGATTCATGCTAGGGAAGTTCTTCGTATAGTACTGACCACACTGTCCCTTTATATGCCGAGGTAAACAAAACTGATACAATCTCACTCACCCGCCCCATCGACTCAAACTGGTACTTTATTTTTTTTTAAATTTCATATTATAGTAATATAAAGTCCATACAGCTATTACTGATAAAAGAATAATGGCATAAGATAATTTGGGGATACAAATGTTTCTTTTAACAGTCAGTTTATGTGGTTGTATGAACCTTAATGTGAATCAGAAATAGACACTGTGGGGATCAATAATCAGAATTGAAATAATAATGAGTTCGCCTCTTTTCATTGTACAAAACCATTGTTTGAAAAGTTAAATTTATTGGTTTTGATGTTGTTGCTTCCATCTACGATTTAAGGCTGATGCTATTTTTATAGTATAACAAAATTAGTTTGCATTAAAGCTAATATAATAAAAATTCTAAATCAATTAAATTTAAAATCTAATACAAATAATTTTTATATTAATAATTACATGCCACCTTTTCACTTGATTAGCGTATGTGAGAAATTATTACAAGGGTAAAGTGTGGGGTTGGGAGGGTGTGTCGTCAGACTTCTTTTGTGATAATTGTCAATGATGGTGTGGGGAAGGAAAGAAATTGTCAAAAAAAAAAAAAAAAAAAACGACACATGAACCAATGAATACATTAACGAATGAACAAATGAAATAGTGAACGAATGAAAAAGTGAATCAATTAATGAATTGGCGAATAAATGAAGAAACGAATGAACATATAGACGTATAATGAAATAAACGAATTAAAAAATGAACTCTTACGCATTCGTATATGTGTGTTTGTGCCAGACACACACAAAACACACTAACACAAACACAATCACATACACATGCACTGTTATACATATAAACATATATATATATATATATATATATATATATATATATATATATATATATATATATATATATGCATTAAAGTAAAAATGTGCCTGTTTGTACTGGAGGACATTGAACCGGCTTTCAATATGAGGGGTCACTAATAATTTGTTGATGTTTTACAACCCGTCACCCTCGGGCGTTGGTCGTTACAACTAATTTTGAACTCATTAGGTGATGGGCTCTGAGATAGGGATTTTTTTTAAAAAAATGTGTTTTATAAAGCTTTAAAAGATAATCTTGTTCGTTTTCTGGGGGCGAGGTTTAAAAAAATTAAGGCGGTGAGGGGATGTGAGGGGAAAAAAGGGGGAGGGGTATTTAAACATGTCGTATCTATAAATTCAGTATTTTTAATCCGACCTAGGAGCTGGAGATTGTTCTATTCGGGAACTAGTACTGTTTACATAGCTGACAATTATTATATCCCAATTTCTGTGTTAAATTCTATTTCGGAAAACTGAATCTAAGTTTTGAAAAAATAATATAATTATGTCACAATGTAATGTAAAATCAGAAAAGCACTTTAAAAGACATAATTGTTAATGAACTTGCATCGGTCGACGTTGCTGTCATGGTCTTGATTCAGAATAAGGGTCGGAGTAATGGTCAGCACGAGGGTTAAGGTCAGGAAAGGTCAAGGGTAGAGTTTTGGTGTTACAATGTTAATTGTGTCTTGGATTCAGCGTAGTTATGTTAACGAACATGAGCGTGTTCGATATGTTATTCTTGTCTTTACAGTCTCCCGTAAATTGCAACAGTTCGACACCGTTTAGTATCTTTTTAACGGGTTATAACAATTGCATGGGATGGCGTGGTCTAAGGGTAGATCATTAGGCTGCTAGCCAAAAAAGTCTCGAGGTCGGATCTCTGTTCGGGCTAGTGACTGTATGACGTCCGCCCAGCTCTGATGGGTGCCTGACTTATGTTAATGCAGAGGCGTAACGACCCTTCCCGGCGCCCAGGGACAAAACTTTCAATTTGGCGCCCCCCTCCCCCGGGACAAATTTTCAATTTGGCGCCCATACCCCCATATATTTTTTATATTTACAATGGAAAACTGCAGTTAAAATTAGCTTTTATTTTTTTTTCAACCCATTTTGGCGCCCCCTAGGGTCGGCGCTCGGGGACATATGAACCCCCCCCCCCCTCGCTACGCCTCTGGGTTAATGAACGTAAAGGCGGCTGGGCAAAGTGCTGGCCACACTACCCCTTCACATGCCGAGGTCAAGAAA